TTTTTCAGAAAATTATATGAATGACATAGCAAGCAAAAAAAAAAATAAAAAAACTTACAAAATAAAATATGTAATTAGAAAACATCCCGAAATGGTGTGTAACGCCCCTAAAATAAAAAAGTTGTAGACGTTAGAAAACCAAAAAATGATGCAAAAAAAAAATAAAATAACGTGGATGTGCAAACCCCATGAGCAAATGAAAATGACTTGTTCTTTTTCTAATTAATTAGTAGTTTAAATTTAGGGATTTTACAGGTAAGATAAAATAATAAAATTGGGATATTACCAAATTTCGGAAATTGTTTTTCTTCTTCTTTTATTGACTTTGTGGGAAATTAATTCAAATTTGATAATTTAAGTCGCTAAACAGCTTTTGTAAGTCTCTCGACAGTCTCTCTCAGCGACTCCAGAGAGACTCGAGTCTCGCTTTCAGAGACTCTGAGAGACTGAACATTTTTATTTCGGGTACAGTTGGAGTAGATGTTCTTTGTATCTTTGTTTTTTTAAAAGTTACTTGCACTTTTTAAATTTCCTTAAATACTAACTAATGAAAGAAAAATGTCTTTCTTTTTTGCGCCAAATTATTTTTTTGTATTAGATCTCTTTGAACAAAAAGAAAGGTGTCTTTAGACAAAAAGAATGTTCTTACCCCAGCTAACCACAATAGTGAGCGAAACACGTGTCCGAGTCGTTTTTTTAAACTGTTGTGGTTAGTTGGGGTAAGACCTTTCTTTTTGTTTATCAATACGCCACAGTCTCCTTTATATTTATTTCATCTTTTTCTTTCGAACAATTAAAGGAGAAATTGCAGCATCCGGGAAATTTTCTGACTGGACAGAATTTAGGGTGAAGACGGTGACGGGCGCCGCGCTGTGTCCCACCGTCCATTCCGTAGTATCATATCGACTTGCGACCATTAAAATTAATGAGATCGATCGCGATATAGCGTGTCCGAGGCTCTTAATAAATACTTCAGGGCACGTTTCAGTGAATGCAGCACAAAACAAAGATGGGCATTTCAAAAGTAAACACAGTAAATTACGTACCGCTTGTGGCGAGTAGGTTTGGTCCCTGGCTAGGTAAGCTTCCGATATGGGTGTAATGTGTTGACTCTGCGGCATTTGATAGTTAGCGGACGCCGTTGAATTATTCAGTCCAGGAGTTTGTGCAGCTGACCCCAGTTGATAGTCCGAGTCTATTCGACAGGAAACAACCGGGCATTAAACGCGTCAAATAACTTCCAACAGGTATGTAGGTACGATCGGGATATAACAGTCAACTACACAGATACTTGGCACATACGTGAATACAATATGTCTGACTAGTATTTCGGAATATTTAAAGGATAACATCTGGAGGTACTGTAGAGTGCATCTCGTCATACCACCACAGCGTAGAGGATATAAAAAGTCTCAATGATTGAGGAAAGTTATCGCGTTATTTTATCGTCTTTCGAAGAAACACAGATACCTATTCGTGACCTTCGCAAACAGCTGATACGTTGACAAGTCAATTGTACGTAATGATTAGTAATAAACGGCACTCGTTAGCGTTCGATCAGTTCATGACCGATTTTATTTTTTAAATTGGTCTCACAATTAAAAATAAACTCAAAATCAAATTTGGGTATTAATTTCTGTGTAATTGTTATAATTTTTAATAGACTCAGAATGACCATTTCAAAAGAAAAATAACAAGTAAATTTAATGATTGTGATGTAAATAGTAACCAAATATACGAATAGAAGAAACAAAATAGAAAGATAGATAGATACTTTGATTTTTCATATCGAAAAGAGTAAATATGCGAATAAGAAATGGCAGTGGAAAAATTGGAGAAACGATTACTTGTGACAAACCTTTGTTAGCAGGTATGATGTCAGGGTTCTTATCATCCTTTTCAAACAAATCTTCGGATTCGGATCTCAAGGGTAGAGTAGCTTTTTCTTTGACGGCCAAAAATCCGGGCCTTAGTGCGTGTGAGCCGCTGTTCCGAGTAGATCGAATTTTTAAGGCGGCTACAATCAACACCGATACGAGCAGAAGAGCCGTCACCACCCCTACTAACACCCCCAGTATGGGAGCGATCTCGAACTGATCCCTGGCTCCGAGTGATAAAACTGAAAAAAGGAACGAGGATTTACGTAAACCTTCAGTTTTATCGTTATTTTTATGGATTCGAGGTATTTTTTTCAATAATATGAAGAAGAGATTTCCTTCTAGTTTATGCAAGCCCTTGACAAGTCCTATCGTAAACGAAACGGCCGAATCCTTTCAGCTTTATGATCTACAGTTTATTATCTATCATATCATACGCTCTTGCTGATAGACTACGCCTTAAAATTGTTATTACTTATTAGCACTAAAATGCTCGAAGCGTTTAAGAAAATTACAAAAGATAAAAAAATTTAATTTAAACTAGAGATGGGCCGGGTACCCGATTTAGATCCATTGCTCCATTACTCATTTTTTTTTAGGATCCGGTCGAGTACCAGATAATGACACCGTGTACCCGATAATGCCTAGTAATTCTACCAAAGAAAAAAGAAAAGCCAACACCAGCAATAATAAGTTGGTAATTATAATGAAAACCTACCTAACGAAAATTGGTACTTATGATTTTATTAGGATAGGTCGTTTTTCCTAATTTGTGTTATTGTCACGCAGTGGGGTTCTAAGGAAACTCAAAAACTATTTTAGAGTTTAAAACATATTTCAAAATTAATTTAATATTTCATAGTTATAAGGTTACAATTTTTGCAAAATTCATAAAACAGATATCGAGTTCATTTACTTGCATTCTGCAGCAACGAAACAATAAGCGGAAAGAACTTTTTCAAAGAATTATCAATGTACAAGCAGAAATTAACGCAAGTTCGTTAGTTTTGGTTAGTTTGAAAATTATAGACCTTTACGAAGTCATCGAAAAAGACAAAGAAGGTTTCTAACGTAGTTAGTTTTCACTAAATCAGTTAAATTAAAGACACTTCTAGAACCACTCAATGATCCATGTTGAACTATGTACAAATATTAACTGATTCATCAATAAGTTTAGCGTGTGAACGGGGATCGATGGTCTATTTGACTTGGAAACGCGTTAACGAAAAGATTCTACCCTTAGCGTTGGTGGCACTACCTCCTGGTCAAAATGATTGTAACGCTCCTATCAACGTTGTTTTGTTAACTTTTAAGGTGTATTGATCTGCATTGAAAGGAAAATCCTTTCTTTATAAACATTTTTGTTCAATTTTCATTTGTGATGTTATCTACCTAAATTACTTGACAACTAACTCTAAATGCATTTGTAATTTGTATCTTTTTGAACTTCATATCTATTTCACTTTACCATATAATAAAGTTGTTATTGTTTTCCAATCTCGCTTTTCTTATCATTTTAATACCTTTCGTCCAGTCACGACAAAATAATAAAAACACATTATAATCAGGTAATTAAAATAAATAATTAACGAAAAACTGAAAGTAACAATTTACCTTGCGACATTATTTATTAATTATTATACTCAATTATTTGTTATTTCCATGTAGTTCTTGTGCTCGTTTCAACTCAACCCTTTCGTTGAAAATCCGCTAACCAAGAATTAAAATTTCATTGCTATAGTGTTTAAACGACTTTTTGAACGGGACTTAATGTGCTTTTGGGTGTTGGTGAGGGTGGTATTCAATGGAGAGCCCTTCAGAACGAAGACATGAACGATTAACTGTAGTGGTTTTGCAGCGTCACTATCCCGTTCATCTACAGTTTAAACGTTCTGAGAAGAACACGTTATCACTAATTTAGAGGAGTTTACAATGAATTTTTTAGACTTCGAAGAGTACAGTTTGTAAAGGAAATAACAGGTCAATTGAAAAGTCCCCGGCCTAAAATAGTAAAACACAATTTTTTTGCAAAATTCGTTTTTTCTATTCAACATAATTCCCTTCAAGGGTGATACACTGATTATAGCGATCCTCCAACTTTTCGATACCATTTTTGTAGTACGATTTGTCCTTTGCTTCAAAATAGGCCTCAGTTTCGGCGATCACCTCTTCATTCGACGAAAATTTTTTCCCAACGAGCATTCTTTTGAGATCTGAGAACAGGAAGTAGTCGCTGGGGGCCAGATCTGGAGAATACGGTGGATGCGGAAGCAATTCGAAGCCCAATTCATGAATTTTTGCCATCGTTTTCACTGACTTGTGAGACGGTGCATTGTCTTGGTGAAGCAGGACTTTCTTTTTCTGCAAATGCGGTCGTTTCTCGGCGATTTCGTCCTTCAAACGGTCCAATAACGCTATGTAATAGTCGCTGTTGATGGTCCTTCCTTTTTCAAGGTAGTCAATGAAAATTATTCCACGCGCATCCCAAAATACAGACGCCATAACCTTGCCAGCCGACTGTTGCGTTTTTGCACGCTTTGGAGCGGGTTCATCGTGTGCAGTCCACTCCGATGACTGTCGATTGGACTTCGGAGTGAAATGATGGAGCCATGTTTCATCCATTGTCACATATCGACGCAAAAACTCGGGTTTATTACGCGTGATCATCTTCAAACACTGCTCTGAATCATCAACTCGTCGTTGTTTTTGGTCAAAAGTGAGCTCGCGCGGCACCCACTTTGCACAGAGCTTTCTCATACCCAAATATTCGTGAATGATGTGATGTATACGTTCCGTTGATATCTGTAGAGTGTCTGCTATTTCATTCAATTTCAATTTACGGTCATTCAAAATCATTTTGTGGATTTTTTTAATGTTTTCGTCCGTAACAGCCTCTTTTGGGCGTCCACTGCGTTCACCGTCTTCGGTGCTCATTTCACCACGTCTAAACTTAGCATACCAATCCTTGATGGTTGATTTTCCTGGGGCAGTGTCCGGAAATTCGTTATCAAGCCAAGTTTTTGCTTCAACTGTATTTTTTCCCTTCAAAAAGCAATATTTTATCAACACGCGAAATTCCTTTTTATCCATTTTTTTCACAATAACAAAAGTTGCTTCACTAAAAATGCTATAATTCACAAACTAATGATCCGACAGCCGTCAAATTTATAGACGCGTCTTTTGAAGGTTAGGACTAACTGAAAATCATATGGATTTAGTTCTGGTGCCGCCATCTATGTGTCAGGCCGGGGACTTTTCAATTGACCCTAGTATTTTTGTGATTTGTTAAAACACACTTTATATTCTGTATGAACAATTGCTTGCGACTTTTATCTTCAATTTGTCTGTTTGTTTAAACAGTAGAGATACAGGATAGTTACAGACCTGTTTAAATTCGAATTGCCTAATAATATTCCCTTGTACCGATAACCATGAGAGAACCGCTTTGAGTTGGTCGAACACATCCCTTAATAAATGAAACATCAAACGGAGGACCAACGGCTGTTTGTTCAGTCCTTCGGATTCGACACCCTAGTTCTCTGGTAAGTAAATAGTGACCAGCGGCTTAAGCGTCTTTAACGAATTTCCCGTTCTATTAAGGAAACAGATTCCACCTTGTCCGTTTACATAGATCATTCTAAACCGTACCCGGCAAACCTTACTTTCTGTTTTTAACCCTCGAATGTTCTGATATCGAAAGCCTTAAGCACAATTCGACCATTTAATTGAACTATTTAGTTCAAGAATATTGTATTATCAGAGGAGATAGCTGCAATCAATATGTTTTTTGACGTTTCCAGTCGTTGCTATTTCTTTTAAACTGCTAAATGAAATTTTATATACTTGCACACTATATATACTATATACGTATATATTTACCTACAACTTTCGTTCAAATTATAGCCTACAGCGAGTACTAAACACGGTGTGTCTAAAATAGGTGGAAATCTTTGGAGAGTGTTAATTGGATGCAATAGAGAAACTCATGATAAGTACATCAGTATAGTCAAGCGACAAAAAATTTGTACGAAAATTACAAGTTACAATCCGAAACCGGCTCTGTACACAAATCCATTTCCTGTAAAGCATGCACTCGTTGCAAATGATAAGGATGCAGCAACTGTTTCATGTACTACATATTAGCTTATTAAATAAAACGTTGCAATGTCGCACTTCCCTACATGAAGTACTAGAATCTGATAGGCTTTTGTCTTTACTTTCAATACGTAAAAATGTTTAAGAAAAATAGTAATGGATCGAAACTAGGCACCGTTTTAAGCATTATTTATCCAAATTGGTATTTTGCAAGCTATTTTTAATTTGTTTGTTGAGAGAATTTCCTGGGAGATTTTCCCGTTATGCATAAATTTCCGCAGTACCTTTTATCACTTAAGAACATTTAGTTCATTTATTTAAACACTTCGAAAGCGAAGCGTGCTTAATCAAAAATTATTGCTGTTTGTACTTAATGCACCGACCAGACACCACAATACCATCATCAACAACAACAACAAATAATCGACGATAATTAATTTCATTACTTACTGTTACATTTTTAACAGAGTAACTAGGAATTAACCATTAAAAAGTAATTTATGTATCTTCAATGTTATTATTAAGTACTTAGAAATTAACCTGACATCATCTAAGTTCCTTTATTATTTATCAGATTACTCTGTCGTATAATAAGATTAGTTTGATACTACACATCACATAAATACATCTGAGTTAGCGTTTCCAGAGGAAATTCTTTAACAAACTTTAAAGAGCTTTTAAGCACAATTTTAAAGTACATCATCTAAACTTGTAGTATGACAAATTAAGAACTTTTAAGGAGGCACTTTACTGAAATCAATATAGCTATATATATAACCTACATATATATAATTATAACAACGATTGAATGAATATTTAATAATTGCGATTATTATTAAATTATTCTTGAAATTTAAATAAAATTCATTGTGAAAGTAAGATCTGTGTTTAACGAATTAATAATGGAAACGCTAAAGCGCCCAGAATTTATCTTTAAAAGTACACTATTACAATTAAAAACTAAAATTAGAACAATCCATATCCTTAACTATTTATGAGGCAGTTAATAGACAAATAAACAATATTAAATGATCCATATTTTCGTATTAATAGGGAAAACGAAAGTAACTTTGTACTCATATTACTTATGATTTGAAATTTGAAAATATTTGAAGTTGTGTGAAAAGTATGTCAAAAAAAACTTACCGGTTTGTTTTTCGGCAATTTTCAGCGTGAATCCTTCCAGTTCGATCTTTTCGCTGCTCCCTTTCGAATTGGCAGCGTAGACCCTGAGTTTCAAAATTTTTCCGGGTTCTAAGCCATCGACATTAAAAGCGGGGAACTTCTCCGAAATGTTTTTCAGTAAGCTGTTAAACGAAGATTCGTAAACTTCCAGCAGAAAGAATTGTGGCTGTCCCCCATCAAAACCATCAATACAATCAACCTGCAGGAAATTAAGTTTTCTCAAATGCTTGAAAGTTCAGGTTCACTAAACAACCAAACGAATCCGAAAATTGCATCTTTTACACAGAAAAATGGACATGATAAATTGTTTTAGCTTTAATTATTATCAAGTCTGACGTTTAATTGGTTAAAATATTTTATTTATTGCGAGATATTTAGGCAACTGAAATTGCTGTCCGAAAACGGAAAAGTTCGAAATATATGAAATCCTATGACATTGTTAGTTACTTAATAGTGGATTAATATGCAATATTAATTTGAAATCATTTTTTCTCGATTTTTGATTTACCCATTACAAACTAATCCCATATTAATGAAGGAAAAATTGTTGCTGTTGCCACACCCCCCGCCGGGAATCGAACCCGGGACCTTTGGCTTTACGCACCAACGCTCTGACCACTAAACTACGAGAGGTAACAACAGCAACCACGACAAACCGACCTACAAGGTTAACGATCCGTTGATTTTTATTAAGGGGGTGTGACAACAGCAACCATTTTTCTCTCATTAATTTGAGGTAGTTTGTAGGGGGTAAATTAAAAATCGAAAAAAAATCGGTTGTCGGTAAAGTCGGTTTACTGACGATAGTTGAACACGACAACGTCATAAGAAAATACTGATGGAATGGTTTCATTTTTCAAAAGAAAATTTTAATTTTATTTGTTTGATAGATATTTTGTATGGATATAGAGAAGGAGGTAAATGGAAATGTATTATTGTATAGCAGCTGTCCACGCGGACGCATCGCTCACTCAAGTAGGAGAGAGACAGATGTCGAACGCTGCCGAACGCGGAGGCCGATTGTGCCTCTTTGTCGCTCGTTCCGCGCTCTCGCTTGCACTTCAAGCCTTAAATGGAACGCGTCAGAGCGAGGTAACGCCGCATGAGTCATGTTTTTTCGTGCGTGCAGCCGGCTCCATCGAATTATAAGACGTTGTCACGTCAAAAAAATGATTTCAAATTAATACTGCAAAGTTCGAGATGTTTACATCTTATTTTTAGAAGTTAAAAAATAGTAGAAAGCAATGACTCACTTGTAGAGATTCGGATGTCTGGTTGAAGATGGTACAGTTGATAGGCGGGTCTGGTTTTCCGGCGGCTATGACGTGAAAGACGCAAGGATCCTCTTGCTTACCGGCAAGATTACTGGCCCAACACATTACCGTGCCGTAGTCCATTTCAGAGACGGGTGTGTATGTCAATGTTGAAGATCCTTGTTGTTCATTGGAACGATATCGCGTCCTAGGAACATCGATTGCTTCCGAGGTGTTATTGAAGGACCATCTGAATTTCTCCGGAGGCGGATACGATTCCACTTCGCAAAATATCTCGGCGTTTTCGTGTCGGGCAACGCCGTAGACCCTCTTCAAGCCCGCTCGACATATCGGTTTGTCTGGAATAAAGGAGGTGTTCGATGAGTGACACCTTTGTGACGCAACGGCAACCGCGAGGAAGAAAATGGCCAAAGGGCCTTTCCGGATATTCAATCAATTTCGAACTTTAATTGCTTTTCTCTCTTGGCTGCTGAATGTAGTAAGAAAATAATAGTCTTGGTTGAAAAATATATTTAAAAACAACTTCTCAAGGACGATATCAGATATAATACGTTGAATTGTTGAGTTGTTTTGCCGTTTCATTGTCTTAAAGCAGACGTTTCGCTTTCGGCATTCGGTATCTTCCGAATCATGACCGGTTTCCATAATAAATACAAAACGCACTGCAGATGTCTGATATCCAAAAACTTATTCTGTTACACCATTTATATACAGTTCATATTTGATTAAAGTCACGCAACCCTAGAAAAAAATTTTCAGTCTCTCAGAGTCTTTCAGCGTCTCTGAGAGCATCTCTCATAGTCTCTCAGTTATTGCCTAGGTGTTTTTATGGATCTCTCACAGTCTCTGTGTGAGAGACTCGAACGATAAAATTGTTAATTCAGAGATTCGAGTCTCTCACAGAATGACTGAAAAAAAAATTGAGAGACTCGAGTTTCTCGTAGAAAGACTGGGATCTCTGAAATATGTTGAACTTAGAGAATTTTAACCATGTCTATCGAGACACCACTTATATAGAGAAATTCTCAGGCTAAACAGTTTTTTTAACAGTCTCTCGATAGTCTCTCTCAGCGACACCAGAGAGACTCGATGAGAGACGGAGACTCGAGTCTCGCTTTCAGAGACTTTGAAAGACTGAATATTTTTATCTGGGGAATATATGGTAAAAGCAATCCTAAAGGTAGTTTTATAAGAGCATGGCAAAAGTAATTTTACTTCAAATCAGTGGTGTATCTACGGGGTAACTCCAATATATATTTAAACCAATATAATTCGGTATAGGACAAGATGTTAAATATTTTTAAAAATGTAGGGATGAGTTACAAAGATAGAAAAGTGATACTTAGTTTGTGTAAAGACCAACTGGCTGTTATACAACTGAGGCTGCAACGTAGAGAAGTAAATATTAGGAAGGGAGTCAGACAGGGATGCATAGACGCGATCAGCATCATTAAAGACAGTACAACTGTAGGGATAGATATATACGCTTACATTTTCAGATGATATAGCAGTTTTAGCATCTACCAAGGAGTTAATATTGCATTATTTATTGTATTGTCTGATAACAATATCGGCGAGAAGGGTTTCCAAGTAATCGAGTAGGAATGATTACTTTTTACGAAAAAACGTATTCCAATAGATAATACTTACATGTAGCACCGAATACTCAAAATCCACCACTGGATTTAAAACCAATTTAACTATGTGCGGTAGGGTGTTGTAAGATGACACATGTTTTGATGAAAATGTGTTTTTGCGAAAGCGGAGGAAATTACTCGTTATTTCTGATTTCATTTCGCCAATTTTCAAATTTGGATGAGCAATGCTTCGCTATTTACGAGTTCACGAATACAGAAGTGACTTTTCTTCTGTTAAAACGACTCGATTCTGCGCTTTTCTGTGATTTACAAACCCCAATTTTAAATTATGTCAAATAATTACAAAACTTTGTTTTTGTAACGTTTCGGTTTATTCAACCATCTTCAGACTTTAAAGTGTTAAGTTAATATCTGCGTACAAGCAGTAACACCTCAAAAGTCTTCAAAAGATGGTTGAATAAATCGAAACGTTACAAAAAACATACAGTTGCGTAATTATTTGACCGTCACCCTGGAAAAAACTATATAATTTAATAGTAACAGTCAGGAATCTAACTTAAATTCTCAATTTTAAAGTTTTCGTCTACAATTTTTGTAGTAGCTCTACCGTACCTACCAACATTTTTCTTTTATTTTTATTTATTTAAATTGCAAAAGTTTTAGGTAAGTACGTATTACAAAATAGAATTTTGAATTACATTTCTTCCGTATTCTTGTCGATGGTAACTGAAAACTCGAACAGATTCCGAAGGGTAGATGATTTAGATTGGTTTTTAACATAACGGATATAAAGTCTTGAGGGTTGAGGTTATTTATATCGTTATATACGTACACGTCGCCGTGGTCGTTTCCCTAAGGAAGGGACGGCAAGAGAAAATTAGAATGCGATCAACTGGGCCTGTGCCCCCTGGGCGAAACCAACTTCACCTGACATCTCCCTGATCTTCTCATATGCTCTTCACCATATTCGGACCCTTTTCACTTTATTCGACGTATCGGTTTATTTACGGAGGGTGTAATAAAACGCGACACGTTGCTACAAGACGGCTCACTCGTCTCAGCAAACAATTCTCGATGTATTCTGTCAGGGGATGGAGTTCGCACACCGAATCCGAATTTTTCTTTGAAACGAATTCGTTTTATTTCTTTCGTTTTTTTTTTTCTGAATAAATTTCACGCAAAACGACAATTTCATTTTTTAACGGTGTATCGAATACCTACAGCAAGGGCAACTGGAAAATCAAATGGAAAATTGAAAAGAAATCAACGAAATGAAAATTTAATTGATATTTTCTTTTCGATAGGAAAAATTTCATTTGTTCACACATTTTTACCGACTTATGTACATATATTGGTATAGACATAGAGTATGCTAAAAATAAATATAAATAGAAGCATAATAGAATAAAATAATTCGAAGACGCGGATTGCGATTTCGATCTTTTTGGATCTCATCAGCGCGTCGCAGGCAGCCCGACAGAACACAGACCAACTTTTACCTGGTGTCTTAACAGCGCGTTTTAGAAAATACCACAAATGACGCGGTAAACGCCATCTGTAGTACGATGCTAAAAAATACAGGTCAGTAAGAAATTGAAAATTAGATTGAAAATTGAAAACAAATAAACGAAAAAAAAATTAAAACTTTTCCACTTTTAAAGGTAGAGGGAGTAGGTAATAATAAATATTATAGTTTAAAGAAAATTTCAACTTACACATAACTTTTAAATCGACCACGTTGCTTTCGCCGTCGCCCTCAACATTTGATGCCGTGCAAGAATAATTTCCTGCTTGGTGTCTTGTAATCGCTTGTAAAGCTAAATTAGTGTCGCTCATAATGACACCCTTCTGGTTGTGCTGCATTACAACCCCCTGTAACAACATAATCTATTTTGTAGCGACGAATTAGTGGACAGGAACGACTTTAATTACAAAGAAAGCTTTGTTCGACGCATGCAATTGCATAATAAAGAAAATTATAAAACGGCTACAAGTTTAGCCTCTCGTGTTCGGTATTCGGAGTGAGAAAATACAACTAGATAATGAAATAACGATAACAACAATAACAATTTATTTAAACAACTAGAGGGACGAAAGTATTACAACTTGAAGGGAGAAGAGATTCAGATGGAACTGCCTAAATTATGAAAAAAAGAAGTCTTCAAATTGTAATTAGGAAAGGGTGCTAACTTCGGAGGGCATGCGGTTAGTACGCGAAGCTGAAATGTTAATAGGGCTTACTGAAAAGTACAAGTCATAAAAGTAGTAACAAAATACAATAGGGTTTTTCGTGGAAATATGTGCTCAAGTGTTATTCGCCACACAAGTGATGTTGTTCATTTATATATAAGTTGCTCTAGACAAAAATTTTCAGTCTCTCAGAGTCTTTCAGCGTCTCTGAGAGCGTCTCTCACAGTCTCTCAGTTCTTGCCTAGGTGTTTTTATGGATCTCTCACAGTCTGTATGAGAGATTCGAACTATAAAATTGTCAATTGAGAGGTTGGAGTCTCTCAAGGAGAGACTGAATAAATAAAACTGAAAAATTGAGAGACTCGAGTCTCTCGTAGAAAACTCTGGGATCTCTGAAATATGTTGAACATAAAAAATTTTAACCATGTTTATCCAGACACTACTTCTTGATTGGAGTCTCTCGTTCAGAGACTGGATACGAAATGAGGATCTCTATATGAGCGACTTGAGTCTCTCGTTCAGAGACACTAAACAGTTTTTTTGACAGTCTCTCTCAGCGACATCAGAGAGCCTCGATGAGAGACGGAGACTCGAGTCTCGCTTTCAGAGACTCTGAGAGACTGAAGATTTTTATCTGGGGTGTTTAAAAAATGATTCACGACGTGAGGTGTTTAAAATTGAAAGCAGCATTTTAAATTGCACAGTAGAATCGAATAAGTTGGAAGAATAGTTATAAATATTACTAAGAATTGAAAGAATTGCCAACAAAAAGGTCCCAATAAAAAACTTAATCTACATATGTAAATTAACCTAAAATAAATTAGAAACTTACGTTATGTTTCCAGACAACTTTATAGGCCCAAGGATTGGCGTTAATTTTACACTCGAAATAGACGTCATCACCCTCTTCAATATCATCAGGATTCAATTTCGGTCCCAAACTGAGATGAGTTATGGCTATATCTGGAACCAAAAAAGGATGGGTTTTGTACTGAGAAGGGCCATGTAACTGGTCCTCCAATTACTTAATTAAATAAATTCAATATCATGGCCCTTATTTACTTTAGAACAAATAAAACATTCTCTCAAATAAAACTTTCTTTTTAGACGATAAGGGTAGGTAGGTATGTCGTGAACGATCCAAAATTTAGAAGTGGAACTCACATAGGTTTGTAGGCCTATGCATGAATGCACGAGAAAGAAAAGCCAAAAAACAGTATTGATTTTCTGTGATTTCTTTCTTCTTCGTCATCCCTTGAGTGCCTTCACTCCCTTTGTCTATAATCACTCTTTTTACTCCATCCCTATATTATTGCGTAGTTCATGATTTATCCCTTTTTTGATGTCGAAATTATAATCGTCTGTCTCATTTAACATATTGATTTTATCTGGTTGGTCAATAATAAATCGTATGACCTTTATGACAAGAGCGGATTCAATTTGTAATAATTTTGAAAATATTTTAATTTGGTAAGCATTATAAAATTATGTTATGTAAAGTGAGATGAAAAATTAGAAGAAGTGGCTGATTTTAGATACCTAGGAAGTCAGATAAGTGAGGATGGAAGCAGTAGTAGGGATATAAAGCAGAGGATAGCGCAGGGTCGTGTCGCCTTTAATAAAAAGAAGTCACTTCTATGCTTGCGAACCGTTAATTTAGAAATTCGAAAAAGGTTGTTAAAGGTGTATGTTTGGAGCACGGCGTTGTACGGGTGTAAAACATGGACAGTGGGAGCGGCGGAAAAGAAAAGGTTAGAAGCGTTCGAAATGTGGTGTTATAGGCGGATGATGAGGATANGATATTTTTTAGTAGTAGGATAAAAACAAGTTTCTATAATAACAAAATACAACTGTAGTACAGTTTTAGACAAAAATAAAACGCTGTTCTGGTTATTTTTAACTCAAGGTTTGAAAATATGAAAGTAAATGTATAATTAAGCAAGGAAATCGCACGTAGGTAGATGCATAATATGTTCCCGTTTAGATTGAGAGGAACAATTAAAAAGTAAACATTCGCGAACAAAAGCAACCGTTGTTAAAGTAAAAATTTTGACCGATGTGAACGACCTTGTTAGGAATTCCTTCAGAAGACAAAAGAGGAAAGGAGACCCGTTTAAAAAGACGGGAACGACAGGACAGGAGAATAAAACAAAAAAAAAAAAGGAAAAAGGAGAGAAAAAACGGCGCAGCAGTTGTTAACGAGAATCTTTGAATCGTGCAGTGATAAAGAGAGACCGCAGGGGAAGTACGGTGCCTGTGAGACACAAAAACAACAGACGAGAGAAACACTTACAGAAAACGTTGAGTTTTATAGTGGCTTCTTCAACGCCGCCTTGCACTAAGTGGTTCCTGGCTCTGCAAGTAAGGGATTTTCCATTGTCCAGTCTAGTGGGCGTGAAAATGAGAGTCGACATGCTCACGTTTCCATCAGCAGAAATCTAAAAAGAATGAAAAAATATGCAGACCCCTGTGCCAAAGAAAATATCTACTCAGCATATTAATCCCATTGAAAATATATACATTAAGTAGTCAATAAAATTATTTTTTTTATGTAACATATAATCACGTTGATCAGAAATTTATGGAAGCACTGATCAGGATTTCGGTCTTATCTCATTAACATACCATAGGCAGTCCCGACAAACTAGGTCTGAAATATTTCATTAGCAGCAAATATCTATAAGATGGCAATACATTGCCTTGATTTGGATATAATACATAAGTACTTGTAAGGATAAGGGTTTTTAGGCACTTTAAATCATATTAATAAATGAAGATGGAAAGAAAGCAGCCAAAATCGATGTAGCTGAGATAGCTGATGATACAATGTTTTGGATTATTTACAATTATTTAAAAGATCGGATTAATATTAATAAATTTAATATGAAATATTCTCAATTTTTACCCACTACACATTACCAGACCTAGATTAGATTACTCTTCGCAAATAGTTAAGGAAATGGATCGTTCTAGTTTTAGGAAAGAGTGGAGGTACGTGTCCAACCAGTCTTAGGACTGATGACCTTATGATGATGAAAGTGAGATCAAAAAGTATTCATTTTCTTTAGGCCACCCTGATATTCTGTTTTGAGAGTGCATAATTTATGCCCAACTAACAGTTCATTAACATCATCCATGATGACAAAGACGATGAAAATGGGGAACTGAAACGAAGACGGGATCCAAGAGTAGATGATTAAATATCGCTTCCTCAAGACACCTGACAAACCGAATTAGCATTTGGAGTAACGTTTAGCTACCGTTGTTTGAACGCGCGCGCGCCCGCGCCCCATCCAGATTTATGTGCCCATTAAATAATAAAATGCAATATTCAGGAGAGTTGTTGGCCTACAGAGTGGAAATCCTTGTTCGATATTTCAATTTAATAATAAGATGTATCGGTATTGAAGGTGACGTAGATTTATTAGTTTTCCGTCAGACCTTTCGACGGACGTATAGTGAGAACGAAAGGAGACGTTATTAGAGGGCGAAACTCACCACTTCTTGGACCACCGATTAAAATCTGTATCTGATGCGTATGTTGGGGAGAGGGTGCCGGTTTGGGTGGGAGATCAGGGGGATAGAGAAGGAAAAAACAAACGTGATAATGGAGGTAACAATGCGTCCTCAGCTTAAGTCAGAGGGATTTAGGGGACTAAGCCGGAAGGTAGGCCGGAAGGCCCTCTTTCAGCCTGCTTTCAGGAATCGTAGGAATGGGTGGGTGGTGGTTCGGGTGAGAAAGACGAGACGGACGAAATGAAAACAGAAGAGAATGAAAGATTATCTTTGGAATATTACTAGCCCAGCATTCGTCTAAGTGATCCAAGGAAATCACAGAAAAATTTGGACCAAGACAGATGTATCCGGGATCGAACCGGCATCCTCCCGAATGCTAAGCAATGGTCTAAACCTCTAGGCCATACCGCTTGGTAATTATTGGAGAGAAACATGAGAGATAATTTAAACACTCAAACTTAATGTTTAATTATGTGTTTTGAGGTTTATCTACCTTTATGGACAAGCATTTACGCCATTTATCTTTTCTCAATCGGGGGGAAGCTATGTCCACCCCTCCACTTTTCAAGTTAGTGGTCTGAGCTGCCTCCGTCTTTCACTTTTAACATTGTAAATTTAGAGGTATTTGAGTATGAATTTGTTACTCAACGAACAATTGCTACACGTAAGCATAAGTTGGAAACTGAAACACAATGTTATTAATGGGAACGCGACCTTCATAATCTACGCTAACTAAGCATAGAAGGAGAAGTTAAGATATAAAAAAAGTCACATGACTTAAGAAGAGTAGAGATGCGTATCCAACCAGTCTAAGGACCGGCAACCTTATAATTATAATGATGATGTGTGGTAAAATATAAGTATTATTCTAAATATAGTCCTTGGTTTACAACTTACAACTTAAGGTTGAGTAAGGGATCAGGATTCATATAGGATATTTTTTAGTAGTAGGATACAAACAAGTTCCTATAATAACAAAATACAACTGTAGTACAGTTTTAGACAAAAATAAAACGCTGTTCTGGTTATTTTTAACTCAAGGTTTGAAAATATGAAAGTAAATGTATAATTAAGCAAGGAAATCGCACGTAGGTAGATGCATAATATGTTCCCGTTTAGATTGAGAGGAACAATTAAAAAGTAAACATTCGCGAACAAAAGCAACCGTTGTTAAAGTAAAAATTTTGACCGATGTGAACGACCTTGTTAGGAATTCCTTCAGAAGACAAAAGAGGAAAGGAGACCCGTTTAAAAAGACGGGAACGACAGGACAGGAGAATAAAACAAAAAAAAAAAGGAAAAGT